TTCATCACAAAGCATGACGTTACTCATATCAACTAGCACCAGAAACAAAATATAACCTCATCATATGGTACAACATAAAACACAAAACTGACCTCTGCTGTGAGTGGTTAAGTCACATGTGTACTGCACCGTCCGATACGTGACTTCAAAATATACTTTATATCCCATAATATAGAGTCCATTAAGTGCTCCTAAGAGTAAGCTTAACTGGACAAACTTTATTAATGTTCTACGCAGTCTCATTTTTCTCTTGAATCTGACCAAATCACATCACGTTAGGATTGTATTGTGTTAACTATCTGTGAAAACAATGCATTAACAGCATTATGTAAAATACACGCGTACAGTTTTGTGCAAGAGATAATATCAAAGGCAATACAGTATATGATATATTCATATGTAGATAATATCAAAGGCAATGCAATATATGACATATCCATATGTAGCTAATATCAAAAGCAATACAGTATATGATATATCTGTGCATATGTAGCTAATATCAAAAGCAATGCAGTATATGATATATCTGTCCATATGTAGCTTATATCAAAGGCAATGCAGTATATGATATATCTGTCCATATGCAGTTAACGTCAAAGGCAATACAGTATATGATATATCTGTGCATATGTAGCTAATATCAAAAGCAATGCAGTATATGATATATCTGTCCATATGTAGCTAATATCAAAGGCAATGCAGTATATGATATATCTGTCCATATGTAGCTAATATCAAAAGCAATGCAGTATATGATATATCTGTCCATATGTAGCTAATATCAAAGGCAATGCAGTATATGATATATCCATATGTAGCTAATATCAAAGGCAATACAGTATATGATATATCTGTCCATATGTAGCTAATATCAAAAGCAATACAGTATATGATATATCTGTGCATATGTAGCTAATATCAAAAGCAATACAGTATATGATATATCTGTCGATATGTAGCTAATATCAAAAGCAATACAGTATATGATATATCTGTGCATATGTAGCTAATATCAAAAGCAATGCAGTATATGATATATCTGTGCATATGTAGCTAATATCAAAAGCAATGCAGTATATGATATATCTGTCCATATGTAGCTAATATCAAAAGCAATGCAGTATATGATATATCTGTCCATATGCAGTTAATATCAAAGGCAATGCAATATATGATGTATCCATAAGTAACTATTATCAAAGGCAATGCAGTATATGATATATCCATATGTAGCTAATATCAAAGGCAATGCAGTATACGATATATCTGTCCATATGCAGTTAATATCAAAGGCAATGCAGTATATGATATATCTGTCCATATGTAGCTAATATCAAAAGCAATGCAGTATATGATATATCTGTCCATATACAGTTAATATCAAATGCAATGCAATATACGATGTAT